AGTGTCATGTGACGTATAAAAAAGATTTTATATTCAGTGTCATGTGACGCAGTGAGATCTCAACACGTGATAGTTCTTGAAGTATGCGTTCAGGATGACACTCGGCTACAACCACAGTAAACATCAGCTCATTCTCTGTAAATCTGAGCACAGTAAGTCCCTCTCTACTTCGCGGTTCGTTTTTTCCGGACTCACTCTATCACGGTTTTTCAAAATAAGATTGGACATGGCACACAACTGGCTGATTGATGGATGAGCCACTTGATTGAAAAGGCATTTTTATTTTAAATAAATTATTTTAAATTATTTAGCACCTGCTGCACCTTTGTGCAGCCCACAGCTGTGGGAGAAGTTTCTGCAGCTGATCAGCTGATCTTAGGGCAGAGCGGATAAGTGGGCGTGGCCGAGAAGGCAGCCGGAGGCATGGAGCTGAAATCATAACATTCAGTGCTCTTTTAGAGCTTTTAGTTTATAAACATTGTTTAAAATATTGCAAGAGCATGGAAAGGCTTTAAAACGCCTTTTTATATATAATTAAAAATTAAATTCAAAAATACTTTACTAATCCCAAAGGGAAATTATTTGTTGTTGTAACTCGTTATCCTCATTTCATTGAGATGTTATAGATACTGATGGCTGTAGACACGAAGGATCTCTTGTAAAGGTCCATCCCACAAAGGAGAAGAAGGACAAGAAGAAGGACAAGAAGGACAAGAAGAAAGACAAGAAGAAGGACAAGAAGAAGGACAAGAAGAAGAAGGACAGCTTGAACAGAGTGAACAATGACTTCCTGGTAAGCTGCTGTTTTGTTTTGTTTTTAAAACCAGCCATGTTAAAAGGCATTGTTCAGAAATAAACATTTAGCGTACAGTACGTATTTGTGATAGTTAATGGTACGTATTTAATTAAAAGTTTAAAACATCTTTCTGTCTAACATCTTTCTGTGTAAATATTTCATGATACAATGTGAACACTTGCGGTTTATATATAAACTGGTTGTTTTCCCATTTTATTTAGAGTGTGCGTCTTATATTAGGGAGTGCTCTTTCTACCGGCAATTACGGTACATTATAGGCATTTATGTGTTGCTGTGGTAGAATCAAATAACCTCCCAGAGTTCTGACAGTATTTCAGGTTTACACACTGAACTAACATCACGAGGAATTTGTACAGGGTTTCCATTCTTCACATATGATGTGTTAACAGCGTGTCTGAAACTTGAGACTGGCATTAGATGTGGGCTGTTTTATCCTTTTTGTTAACAGCAACATTCAGAAGTCGTGTGTGCAGAGCAGATACCGATGCCATGTTTCTCCATAAGTGTGATGAGCTCAGCCTCTGTCAGGTAGTCAGGTGGGCTGGTCTGTCTTTCCACCAGCTTGATCTCGTCAACAACAAAAGTGTCTCCACGTTCGCAGACTGGGATGGCTTCTTCCAGGGGGATGCCTTGCCATGGCATCACTGCAGTGTACCCTGTGGACAAAATATAAACTCAGCAAGTAGCAGGTGACTCCAGCTGTGTTTTCATGTCTTCAGGAAAGGCAGGCTAAATGAGGCTGGGTTTATTGAAGCAAATAATGTGGACAGCATGTGAAGTAAAACAAAACAGCGAATGAGCTCAAATATATAATTATATGATTATGAAATAATTTAATTAAATCCTATGACCCAAACTTTAGGGTCGCTCTAATAGAAACAAACCTTTTCAACTGTGACTACTAATAAATGACTTAGTTTAACTTTGAGTTATGTCATTCTGACTTCCTAAACTCTGGTTTAAACTCATGTTTATCCTGTGATCAGGATGCTTTGAGACTTTAGTTATGTTTAAAATATTCTGTCTTATATTGAATATCAAGACAAAGTGTGTAATGAGATCTCAGGATCTCACTCGACTAAAACATTGCAATATCAAGCTGAAAGCTGCTTGGTTGAACTATTACTGAAAATGTCTCCACTAGGGGTGCACCGATCACAGTTTTCAGTCCGATCACCGATCACTGAGTTCTAAAAAGTCTGACCTGCTGATTCCGACTTTGGCCGATACCGATTTTGTTTTATAAGCGACACTGTCAGGAGTTATAAGGTCACAATGCACCTTCAATTTTCCAATATTGTTTTGTTAAAAAAACATGCCCAATATCCTAGAAACAATAGAAACTTGTTTTAACTGGCCATGAGGTAGTGCTCTGGAATATAAATGAAGTTTAGACAATTGTTGTTAAAAATAAAAAATACAAATCGGTAAAATCGGTTTCTCATGCAAGTATAGACCGATTTCCGATTTCCCAAAATGAAGGAAATCGGGGCCGATTTATCGGTGCACCCCTAGTCTCCACCACTTTAGTTATTTGTTTGGCAGCAGTTTAATCAAACACGTCAGGCAACAGGACCAGAGCCGTTACGTCACTTCCCTGCTCTCAAATAACTTATTGATCTTTTTACAGTAAATACAATACATGCATAAACTGTGGCACCACGCCCTCACAGTTTCCCAGCTGTTTCCAGTCTGCATTAATCTCTGTTGTTTTGATCCTTCACACCTGCACTTTTATTGATTGCTATACACAAACATGTTCGTAAATTTGTTTCATTGGTGTTTGACGTTGTGATAGTGACGTGCAATGTTCCTGGGTATTGGAATGATTGCAGAGAACAGCTGAAACATAGATATGTTTAGACTACTGTAATTTCCAGACTATAAGCCGCTACTTTTTCACACGTTTTGAACACTGCGGCTAATCATTGGATTATATAATTTTTGGACGGGCTAACGAGCTTCATGCCACCAAAGCGTTTACCCTCGTCACACCAACAAAAATCGTTTACAAAAACTGACTGCATGCAAAGAGCAACCTTTGCTCAAGTCTGCCAGTGGATCCTGATGGTGGAGCAGGGTAAAAAACTCCTCCTTCACCAACGAGTTTCAAAAAGCTGCTGCGTGACAAAGAGGCCAGCACAAGCTCATGGGCGCAGTGCGCAGGAGGAAGGTGAAGACGGCGATCAACGACTTCCTGGTAGGCTACTGTATTTTATTTTAACAGGTACTGTTCAGAAAAAAACATTTACTGTGCGCATTTGTGTATAAGTGTTTCCCCTACCATTATACAAGAGGGGTGCCCTGCCCCGTCAACAGAACTGAACTGCGCATGCACATCACCCCGCCCCCCACTGTAGCGCTAAGCTAGCGGCACACAATACTGGTGAGCTAGCTAAAGAGCTACGCTCTTCCCTTGTGCTGAACACGCCCCCGCACCCCCACCCCTCGAAAACTGTCATTACAAACAGTCAGACGTCTCTCTGTCTCTACCTCCCCGGGTCGACCAAAATCTCAGATGAGATGAGCGCCCCGTAACGGCAACTTATCCAGGGGAAACGTTGTGTATGTTACCAGTACGTATTTAATTAAAAGTTTTTTTTAATCTTTCTGTGTAAATATCTCACGTTACAAAGTGAACACTTATAGACAAGTGTGGCCTACATATGTACAAAAACATTTTCTTTTTAAATTTAGTGGGTGCTGCTTATATTCAGGTGCACTCAATAGTCTGGAAATTACGTTAAGTGTATTTCAATAAAGTGGAAGCAGGCATGAATCTAAAGTGTTGCAACATCCTGACACTGAGCATGTGCTTTAGTAACTGTAAAAAGATCTATAATCTATGAAAGGCAAACTTCAGAAATAAAATCTATTTAAATTTTAAAAGGATTGTTTGTTCTGATTAATAAAAATATATACGCATTGAAAAAGGTTAACTATATATTTTTATATGAATGTTTTTACATACAGTGAGACATTTGAAAAATACTGAAAATGTATTTATTTATTTAAAAAAACAACTAAAAATAAGATTGTCCATTGATCAGGTTTTGAGGTTTGTTCCCTTGTAAAAAATTAGTTTGAACTTTTTCTAATATCTGAAAAGAATCAGAACGGAGAGATGTCAGTCAGTTGAGTTTGGAGCAAAAGCTGTTTTTTTACACATTGTTAAAATAACGTGTCTGTTTTAAGCCCTAAAACATTTGTTAAGTGTTAATCTTCATCAGATAACTCCAGTATGCACATTGGTCCAATGTAAAACAAAAAACAGTCTTATAGACATGGGCTCTCTTTAGCTCTGACTCTAATTTTTAAAAATGAGAAAAAGTTCTGAAATTTTTGAAAGTGAAGTAAAAAAAATCTGTGGAGTTTATTTTATCCAAGCTTGTGATTGTACCTGGTGAAATGAGGGTTTTCCCAGTACATGAGAAGGCCTCTGTGCCGATAACAAAGGCTATTACTGTTTGCAGGTACTTGCAGTCTTGACTGACTGTGGCAATGAAATGTCGTGTGATGTACTCGTACAGACGCCAACCATCACTGCCTGCAGAAGGAAGAATCGCCGTTAGACGCTGAAAAAATAATAACATGAGTGTATGGATCCACCAAGCTCTGGTGGATTTATTGAAGCATTTCTCCTCTGACATAATATTCATTATTTCTTTGTTTCATGACTTACCCAGTTCCCCCTCTGAGGCAGATCTCATCGGTGTAATGGGTGGATGGTCTCCTGCATCAGTTCCCTTCCTGGGTCGGTTTATACCGGTTGAAAGTAGAGCATTTACCTAACGTGGAGGTAAAGCAAAATACTATTAGAAATCTGTAAAGTGCAATCAGATATGTATTTGAAATGCTCATCACATCATCTTCAAATTGATAAACAAGTTGTGTCTCTGACCCCACAGCCTCACCTCTTCTCTCCAGATGGGGTTGTTGCTCTGTTGCTTCAGTGTTCCCTTCAGGTCAAAGTTCTCTGGGTAGTGGGTTGTCTCAGTACGTGGGTAACTAATGTAGCCCTGGGTATACAGGCGCTCTGCGATCTGCATGGTGTGTTGGGGACCCATGCCTGCAACGTCAAACACCTGAGACTTATGACTTTCTTTAAAAAAACATCTGACATCACTGGGAGATCAACTGAGCATGGACTTTGTTTGTTGCTCAATATTCTTTCTGCTGTTCCCTCTTCAGGGTCTCCAGAGTCATCCTCCTCCATCTCACTCCGTCCTCACTCCATCTACCTCCATGTCCTCTCTAACTGCATCGTCTTTTTCCTCGCAGCTACATTTATCCTTCTACCAGTATACCTACTGTCCCTCCTCTGGACATGTCCAAAACACTGTCCCTCCTCTGGACATGTCCAAATCACTGTCCCTCCTCTGGACATGTCCAAACCACTGTCCCTCCTCTGGACATGTCCAAACCATCTCAGTCTGGACTCTCTAACTTTATCTCCCAGAAAATTGTCCATAGGTGTGAGTGAGAGAGTGACTGGCTGTTTGTCTTGTTTGTCTCCATGTGTCCCTGTGATGGACTGGAGACCAGTCCAGGGTGCCTCTCACACAGTGACTGCTGGATATGGGCACCAGTGACTCCCGAGACCCGAACAGGAGGAAGCGGGTCAAGGTAATGGATGGATGGAAGTTAGTGCCATCAAAGCATTTACAAGATGTTTAGCATTTTTTAACTCTTCTAAGGTGTCAACAAAAAGTGACCATCGTAAACAACTGGGTTTTACAAACATAATGTTTCCACTTTTGAAAAATGATCCTTATTAGTACGAGTATGCACAGAATGATGGGCGAGAGAGAACTAATCTGATCCTAACAAAGCCAGAGACAAGCCTGTGCACGAACGTATGTTTTCTCAAATGAACTTTGCGAACAGAACAGAACTGTTGATATTAAGTCAAACTGTGGTGAAAGAAACTACCTAAAGAAGAGCTGGCCACTCTCAACATCTCCACTGTGTTCAGGGCCTGAGGCCTCTGCTTGGACTTCTCCTTTTTACTCACCGACTCCACCTACAAAGATATGGATGAAATAAAAGTTGAAGTCAATGGAAGTAGCTTTAAAACCCATTAAAACACAGTTCTTGTAAACTTCAGTCAGACAGTAAAGAATTGTTCACTCCTTTTTGAAATGCTTGTAATTCACCCAGAGACGATACCTCTTTTAAAAAGTTTTGTTTAGAACGATTAAGACAAACTGTAGTGGGGTGAATTTATTTTAGTGTGAACTCCTGTTCTCTCAGATCAGCTGCTCCTAAACGTCTCGAAACGAAAGCTTAGAGGGGATCGAGCCGTTTCTGCTGCTGCTCTTAAATGTGTGTCAGGCCTCGTCCTGCCCGTTTTAAATCTTCTCCTTAACACCATCTAAGATGTTGATTTTTAATTTGAATTTGTGTTCATTGATTTTATCTTAGGTTTTAACGATAAGATTATTTTGCTTTGACTTTAGTCTTTAATTAAGCATCGCGACTGTCGTTGTGTTTTACTGACTAACTGTAAAGTACTTTGGTCCTGCGGTTGTTTAAAGTGCTTTATAAATAAAACTGGCAGGTACATTTAAATCCAAACTTTTCTTTAAATTCAACAGCCTGGAACAACACTTAGGTCTCCTTTTCGGAGACCCCCTCTGTTTTGATTGGTGGTAAATGTAAATATGAATGTGTTTTGCAAAAAACAACTACATTAAGTGAAACTAAAGCTTTTAAATACCTAAATATTATTCCCAGTCAGACAAGTTTGACTCTCAACAATTACCACCGTTCAGTGGTGGGATGTAACTAAGGACAAGTACTTTGTTACTGTACTTAAGTACATTTTTCATGTATCTGTACTTTACTTAAGTAGAGTTAAGTGTGGGTACTTTCGAATTTACTCCACTCCATTTTACATTAAGTATCTGTACTTTCTACTACACTACATTTCTATAATGAGTTGAGTTACAAGTTACATTAATGATGAGTTTTTTTTATTTGTTCGTTAGTTCGAAAGTAAGCGATGGTGAGAGGGGAGTTAGTCCGTTGAATCACTGTAAAGTGGGCAGGTAACGTTAGACCCGCCTTCAAGAAGAGCTGGGCCAATGAGCTGGGTGCACCCACAGCACCACTAACACACACGGAATGGATTCCACAGCCTAGAGTCAGCCAGAAAATACACACCACCCATGGCCTTATTGAAAGACTATTGAAAGACTATTGAAAGACTATTGAAAGATTATTGAAAGACTATTGAAAGACTATTGAAAGATTATTGAAAGATTATTGAAAGACTATTGAAAGACTATTGAAAGATTATTGAAAGACTATTGAAAGATTATTGAAAGATTAT